GGCATAGGTAGATCAGCGTTGCCCTGATGCTCTGCGTTGCATCGGCCGATTGTGGGCAGAATGCGCCGAGTGAATGATCTCACTACCCCTCCTTCCAGATTGGGAATTGCTAACGTGCCCCCCCAAATTGTTCATGTGGGCCCCCTTCCCTCCCCGTCCGCCCAAATAGCCGGCATAACCGTGGTGCTGTAAGACAGTTTCGCTTATATCGAATATAACAATTATATTACTACTACGCCGGCAGTCCCCTCCAGATCTGGTGGTCAGTGGCAGTGGTGCTCTTCCAAGCCCACTCAGCCCCGCGTGTTCGTTTCAGCCATGAAGACAATGAGTCAAAGCTATCCTAGTATTAAACGATAATGGCCACGTACGTAAATGCTGGATGCCAGTCGGAAAGGCAGGCTACTAAGTAGCGCAACATGGCACAGCCCTTACCGGATTTCGTTCACGCGGTATGTCATCTGCCCTCAGACCACGCGCATCCCAACAGAAATAGGCGTCGAACAGGTGCTCGCCATAGCTCGGCAAGCTCGTGACGACACCGCACTCGTCGACGATGTCGGTCTCGCAAGCGCTGCTGGTGTTGGAGATGACGCTGTCGCGCCGCTCGCAGACGGGCACGAACAGCTTCGGGAACAGATTTGCGCTTTCCGCCTGAACACGCACGGCGGCATCGTCAGCCCCAGAGCGGACATGGAAATTTACTATGGAAACAACCTCGTCGTACACACTTACCTCTTTCTGCGCAACCTTCTTCACGTCCCGGTCGTCGTCGTTGTCCTTGACACTTACCTTGGCCCGCAGCGTATACCGCACCCGGATCTTGTCGCCATCGTGCACGCTCTGTACCAGGGCGTATGGCGCCATGGGCAACGGTAGTGTTAAGTCGAAGCAAGTCGTCGGTGGAGGCGGCGTCGTACTACCAGCGCTGTTGGTGCTGTCTGCATCATTACCCCAACCGTCCTTTTCGTCGTCAACATTTCTTCTCCTCGGCTCGCCCGCACAATCTACCTCTACTGCGGTAGCTCTCGCCGCCGCTCCCACCGTTGCGTCCTTCGTCAACAGCTCACTCCCAGCTATCGACCTACTCACTTCAGCCACGCACCGTATGCACTTGGTCCCGCGATGAGGCTCGCCGTGCTTGTCGGTCACGACGAGGTGGACGGTTTGCAGCAACTCGAGGCTGAGGGTGATGGTGCGGTGGTGGCGGTTCGATGATATTGATGATGAGCTGTCGGGAATATTGGTGGTAGGGAAGGGTGTTAGCGCGAAAGAGGTTTCGAGGACGCCGCCGCCATTGTCGGTAGGCTGATAGGGTTGGGCTAGAGTGACGGTGGCGTCGAGCTCACTGGCGGGAAGGGTGATGTGCGCGATTTGTTGGGTAATCTGTGGGACAAAGGAAAGGCGTGAGTAGTGGATTGAGGGACATTTTGCAACAGCGCCTCGTCACTTACATCTGGGGCGAATTCGAGCTCGTCGATGAAGAAAGAAGGGGATTTGATTAGACGCAGCGGCTCGCTGGTGCAGAGCTTCCGAGTGAAGACGCCGCTGCCGATGGTGATGTCGGCGCAGATGGAGTAGCGGATGTACGTGTCGAGCGGAAGCCAGGGTATGGAATCCGGAAGCGAGGACGGGAGAGTGAAGGTAAACGGCCAGATGTAGCGGCCCGGCGCTACCTTTTTGGCCTGATCGGTGCCCTTGAGAAAGATGTAAAGAAGTCGGTCTTGCGAGAAGATGACATCCTTCTGCCTCACGGTTTGCGATTGCAGCGTGTTCGTCAACCAGCTGTCACGTTGCGGTCAGCAATGCTTGCCTGCCGGCCCGGGACGCGTGAGATGGCTGCTTCTTACTGCACTTTGCGGACTCCATGCAGTGCGACCTTCACAGACTTGATGGCGGTTGGGGTCTGAGTGCAGAAAACGACTTCGCCGTGGACAAGCAGCTTCTGGCCGTCTCGATGCTGGCGACGGAAGACGACGTCGTGGGTGTCGAGACTGAAGGAATAAGGCGCAGTTTAGCATCAGAACCTCGACGGCTCCGTGACATGGCCTACCTCAATTTGAGACACTTGTCAGGGCCGGCGGATGGCATGCTTTTCTTCGGGTGGCGAATGCCGTTTTTGTCTTTGGTCGCGGTAGCTCGGCGAAAGCGGCGGAGAGCGCGCAACACTTCGTGGAGGGAAGCGAGGGCGGTCGCGGGCTTTTGTATGGCCATGGCCGCGGCTGAGGTTACCTTTCGAGACAGTGCGTCACGCACAGCTCTCGTGTGGTGTCACTCGACATTGACAAACGGGTGGGTTTTGGAATGAGGGGAAGCATCCCGGGCTGGATGTTGTGCTGACTAGCGCAGCCGGCCCGCTTCCCGCTTCGGGCACCACTCAGCACCTTCCCCTCCTAAATGCTGAAGTCGGCAACGACGTGTGTGCACCTGGCCTATCATGTCTCCGGGGCCCGCCGTCAGCTTCCAAACAAAGTAATCACGAGTCAGATGGAACACGGCTTCGGCGCATCGTCGCAGATGTGAGTCCGAGCCAAGACGGTAACGGGCTCCCGCATGCAAACACGGCCATCGACAGCCATCTCGACGAGTCGCCGGGTACCAGCTGGGTGAGTTGGCGCGCACATCGCCTTCCCCATTCCGTTAGCAAAGCCTATGGAGCCAGCAATCTATCCGCCCCGTCGAGTCTCTACCATCGAACGATGATCCGGCCACCGAGTATAAGGAAGAGGAAACAGATGCATAATAGCAACGCTTGCTACTTCCGCTAAAGGCAACGAACCGCAGCGCTCCATCAGAGACGGCCCGTCTCTGTTGCTGACATAGCGTGACGTCTGTACGTCCGTAAAATGTGGTTCGTTCTATCGCTGCTGCCAAGATGACCCAAAGAGGAAGTACTCCCAGCCGCTACCTTTGGACAACAATATGCTTTCTATGAATTTCGCTATGAATGCTATGCCCCAGAATCCATCGCCTTCGCCGTCAAGCGCCCTCAGCCACCCCACCCACCGCCCCTTACGCACCCGCCCACCATTGCAATCACCCTATACATCAACCAAAACGGCCACATCACCGCTACCAATCCTTTCCACACCGCGCCCAGCATGTGCCACCCCGCCATGACCGCCCATAAAAATGCCAATCCTTGCACCACCCTCACCACCGTATGCTTCGACAACCGCACCGCAATCAGGGGTGCATCCTCCTCCTTCGTCGGTGCCGCCATTTCCACCCTTCCTTTTGGCGTTTCTGCCAGCCTTGCCGCGCCTTGCGCCGCCTTCTGAGCCATTGTGTCTGTTGTTGCGTGCTTGCTTGGGCTGCAATGATAAGCATGCTGCGCGCGCAGCGCGGCGAGCGCGCCGGCCCGTCGGCTGGCCAATGAGGCGCCGTTGACGGCGGCGACAGTCGTGGCCGGCTTGTTGGCGGCTTTGCTGGCGGTATTGGCGGCTGATTTGATGGCCACCGTGGGAGCTGCTGGCGGCGCACGTACGCGTACTGACGATGGCTTGGGTGTAGATGTAGGTGGAGGCGCAGGTGCTGCGGCAGGCGTCGTCATGGGGATACTCTTCTCCGCTGTCGGAGGCTTCGCGGCGCCAATCTTCGACGTCGGGAATGGCTTGGTGAGCTTCTTACGTATTGATTTGGCGGTAGCAGGTTTCGGCTCCTTCGCAGGAGACGGGATTGTAGCTGTCGGCGTGGACTTCTTGATCTTCTCAGAAGAATCTTCTGCTCGTGACGGAAGGCTCTGGGTTGAGGTTTTGATTTGCTGTGCCTCGTTGGCGGTCCCGCTTGAGGTTGCGGTTTGGGTGCCAGCTGTTGCTGTCGGGGAACTGTCACTATTTGTTTGCCGTGGTTTCCCTGTCGTGATGACAAGCCGTTGTACCCCAGTGCCGTTCAGTCGTGTCTGCGCCCGTACCGAGGGAGTCTCGAACGATGGCTGGATTGGGTGTCGTTTGAACGCGCCTGCGACAGTGGCACGCGTCTGCGTGGCGCGATGGTGCGTGTCGGGCGCGCGCTCTGGCGGCGGTGGATTCAGTGCTGGGGCGACAGGAATGGGCGCAATCAAAGGTGCAGCCGGTACACTAATTGAGGAATGGGGAGGGGTGTCCAGAGGAGGCCGGGACGAAGCGATCCACTCTCCATGGTGATAAGGGCGACCGGCCTCATACCTGTGTGGTGGGGGCGGCGGTGGAGGTTGGTAGTCGACGTCAATCGGCGACCTCACAATGTCATCGGGCCCATGAGGGGCGAGATGGGGCATTGCCGTATATTCAGCGGCAACCGGCTTCCGTGGTATTGAGCATACTCTTCGTGGCATTGCAGTGTTGGCTGCTCTTTCCCATGGGTGCCGTGGGCCGAGCACCCTTTCTCTCGACTGCGCGCAGAAAGCCTCTCGCGGATCATATGAGGTATATGATCGTTGTCGCGCCGGTGTTGGCACCTGACTTCGGCTTTTTGGTTGCGAGTGCATTATTCGAGGACCAACAGGGGCGAAGCGCTGAGAGTGGGCGGGAGGCGTATCACCCGGCGTGAGAGGCCCGGCAGGCAATTCGAAGGCCCGGCGATTTTCTTCTGTGACCCACGCCGAGAAGGCATCGGTTCCGGCACTCGTCACCGTCTTGATTGGAGGCGTGATTGTCAAAGCGCCCGGCATTCGCAAATGATCTGGGTCAAAAGCCGCATAATGATCCGAGGGCGGCTGGGACTGGAGTGGCTGCGTTAGAGTGTCGAGAGCGTCAGGTGGCTCCTCGTCCTCGACCGTGACTTTGGGAGGTCTAGGAGGCGGAGGAGGCTGCTCCCGTTCGGGAGGAGTTGGCGGCAGCTCTTTCCTGAAGAGGCACCAGCGAAGCAACCCCTCCTTTTGCTGCTGGAACTGCTGGGTATTGAGTGTGATGTTGGCGGTTTCGTCAGGGCCCGGGCTCATCTTGCCCGTGTGAGGATTGGGATTTTGCACGACAAGGAAGTCGTCCGTGTCGCGAATGCGCAGCCAGGGCTTTCTGTGAGTAGGGTGCTCGAATTCTACCTTTTCGGATCCCGACGACGAAGACAATGAACAGCAGTCGTTGTCGTTCCAGCGGGCGTTGGCTTCGGGGCTCGAGCGGTGTAAGAGTTTCTGGCGCGCCCTGCGGCGGAAGCTTCTGCTGCGTCGTGGCCGAGGATCATGCTTGCTGCTGCTGTGTGGCTGGCTGCTTGGGAATGCGCCAAACCGTGAGGAATGTGCTCCCCACGTCATCATCTACTTCGCGCCTGAGAAGGCCACGGGAAAGACCGTATTTCTCTCTATCCCCCCTCTCTCTCAAAAAAAAAAAAAAAAGATTGGAAAGACTCTCTGCTGTGTAACGACTGAGCATAGTAGAGATGGGTTACTGTTGTTGAGCTTTATAAGAGAGGCGACGTGGAGCCGGCACTGGGCAATTTGGTAACCGTGGTTGTATCATCGCACTTCTGTTCACCCCCGCCCCCATCAAAGGAAGCGACAATCCGTCCTGGTTGCCGCATAGGATCGAGGCCCACATGGGTCCGGATGCAGGGCAGAGCCGCGAAGAGGACCGTTTCAACTTTGAGTGAATCCAACAGGACTGGTGGTAGCACTCCGACGGTTCAAGCTAAACCATGCTTGTCAGCGACCACTACAAAGACAGGCGGCCGCTGAACATCCGGGTGCGACCCACTCATCAGACGCTTTGTCTCCAGCATCTTCACGAAGCCCTGTCCGAGAACGTCCACACCGTCTTGGGTCGTCCACGTAGCGGACCCGGTTCACGTTAGTTGAATCACGTTGTCGCATGCGCTCGATACGAAGCCTCGAGGCTCCATCTTATCCAACCAATCCCCACGATCCAGCTTTTGATCTTTTGTCTCTGCCTCATTACCATGAGAACACCGTTCCCTGACCAACGCCTGACGCCGCTGCTGTGCCCTTTCCACCCATTGTATCCCGTCTACCTTCCTACCGGAGGCCCATCTTTTGTCCAGCCCTTGGCCCTCATGCTGAGCTCAATGGCATTCCAAATCTTCTCCACCTCCTCGCGATCTCTCCACCGGCCCACTGCGCCCTGCTGCGGCGTCCACTTGTCAATCTGCGCCGTCATGACGCTACGCCCCCATCCCTTGACTGCCTCGGGCACCGTCTCGCCCCGCCAGCCGACATAAACACCCAGAGCGTGGCTGAAGAGTTCTGCGGGCTGTGTCCATTTGTATGATTTGAACTGCCACGTCTGCCCGGTGGTGAAGACGGCAACAACGCGCTGCCAGTAGTCGGGCTTGAACTGATCGGGCGTATCGACGAGGATGAAGCGCATTGGGCGATTGGGATCAATGCCAGGAAGTGAACGGGTAAGGTGGAGCAGGTTAGGACCGGCACCGGCCGAATCCGCTGGGCCGTAGATTCCACCGTCAAGGAAAGACTTGACGTTGGACATGCGCAGGAGCGACGAGGCGGACGGCGACAGGAGAATGATGGGCTCCGGGCGACGGCCGGGCTTCTTGAGATTCGAGACGAGCGCCGGGTTGCTGACACTGTTGAGGGGATTGGGCACAGCGGCTGCGCCCGAGTGCTTGCCGTGACCGAGGAGAGAAGCAGCGTGCTTGCGCACATGAGAGAAATCCTGGCAGCATGTCAGCAACCACTGAATGCAGTATCAAACGCTACTAGACTCACCGTGGGCTTGATGCCGCGTAACACGCTATTCCTGTCTCCCATGCGCCTTTCGCCATTGTAGATTTCCAGGAGGCGCGGGTCGGGCTGGGACTTGCCCGGCTTGGGGGCACCGCTGGGCACGGTCGATATACCGCCTGTGGTGCCGGCGGCGATGTTGGCAGAGCTTGCGGCGGCCGAGGTGTCGGACGGCAGCGGCTTGATGTTCTCGCTCTCCTCGGAGCCACCCTCGAGCCATGTGATGAGGTCAAGCTTCTCGGCGAAGACCAGGTTCTTGACGGACCCCCCTGCGTTGCCCGGGAGCTTCAACTCATCGTTCAAGCGGCCCACGGAGGTGATGTACTCGGGGACGGCAGCATCCTTCTTCAGCCATGTAAAGTACACGCTGCGCAGATCGACGGGCTGGCCCTCGGCGACAAAGCGCGTCGGAGTGTTCAGCGGGATGGCGCGGTGCTGGCCATCCTCGTGGTTGAACTGGAGGAAAGCTGCCTTTGCGAGATCCTGCTCGACATCTTGGGTATGCGATGCGTCGGGCGTCTTTGTGGGGATCGGGGGGGTGTTGGCGGCGATGGCGTTGCGGAGGTTGAGCAGGGGGTCGCTCTCGGCCATTGTTGCGGTAGGCGGTGGCGATGGCACGCGGAAGGGTGGAGGCGCGGGCGGGAGGTGGTGTAGGATGCGGCCGTGGTGGAGCTCGACGTGAAGGTCGACGCGCACAAGATCGCCCGAGCTTGCACCGTTGGCTGCCTGAGTCGGGCCTCTCACCCAGAACAACAGACGCGTATTATTTCTCAACCTCACAGCGAAAGAGCTACCTTCTCCTACATCATATGTACTATACATAGGTCCACGACGAGAGTGCATACAGAATAGCTTCACTGTAGGCCCGCCTTGTTTTTCTGAGCCACAATAGCCGTCTGATTTTGGCCTCAGGTTCCTCTTTTCCTTCGTTTGCTCTTGGCACTCCCAGTCCGCATGATATACCTGTATACTGCAGAGGGGTCAGACATGGAATCAGGCGCAGGCGCAGGCGCAGGCGCAGGCCCGCTCTTGCGGGTTTCGTCGGCGGATACGGCGGCCGAGTCCTCGGTATCAATGCTGCGCAATAACACTTGGAGCGCATCACTGTACATTCGGATTGTCACGAGCCTCTGCTTGACTTGGTTTCGCAACGTCGCAGCCTTGAACTTGGCGCTGGCTTCCCGCTTGCCTCGCTTCCAGAAATACGTGTCGTGGTGCTTCAACAACTTCCGGGTAGGCTCGTCAATCTGGGCGTTGAGAATGCGAATGTTTGCCAATGCCACTTGATATTGTCTCAGGACGTCCAAGAGCCGTGAACGGGACTCAGCCTGCACAACAGCCAAGCACACGGCAGTGGCATAATCGCCGTCGTGGGAGATGCTCAGCTTTGCCACCTGGCCATTGCACTGCTCCAAGGCCGGGTCGGTATCCGGATGACTTGCCCAGTCGGCCGGAGCATCAATCTCAGCACGGACAGGGAGGCTGAAGCCGTAGCTTTGGTTCAGGCAGAGGCGTTGGACATGGGTCAATTCCGGCGATTTGTCCAAGATGATGGCGTACGGATGGCTGCCCTGGCTGGCAACCAAGACGTCTCTTAGAAGGAGGCGTCGCGGATGGACGGCTTTGATGACAGCCTCCTTGGCAGCAAATCTAAGGACCACTCAACCGGACGGCTCCAGACGGCTGTGCACGAGCTTCTTACCGGCCAGCGAGATAGCAGACGGCCCTGGCGCCAAGGGCAGCGTCATGCTCGGCGCCTGGCTTCTGCAACACGCCGGCGAAGCGTGCATCGAATAGCAAGATCTCGTGAAAGGAGAAAACACGTGCCAAGAACGAATGCAGGCGCGGCAAGGCGGAGTTGGCGGCGTCGGCGGCGTCGGCGGTTGGAGGGGGCCTGCGAAGCGTGGCTCGCTGCAAGAGCGACTGGACGCGCCGGATGCTGCAGATATCAGTGCCCACGCCGAGAGGAAACGGGAATGGGCGGGGTGGCATGGTTGACTGGAGCTCTCCAGGCACGCAGCTCCGGCGGCAGCGTAGATTTTCCGGCGGACGACGCGGGCGACGCGGGACGGGAACGGTGGCCGCCAGCCCGTCTCCCGCTCTTACTCATCGCAGCTAACCCAAGAGGGATTCAATGGCACATGGCATGCATGGCATGCACGGCCTGACGCATTCACACTTTCAGCTTCGCGAGTCCAGCGCGAGTCCAGCGCGAGGCCACGTCGCCCTGCCACTGCCCCGCTGCGGGCCGCCGTGACTGGCTGCGCCCCCCGGACGCCGCCCATGTTTCAAGGCGCGGCCATGACGCAACCGCCATCTGATGCGCGCTAGCAGCGACGCAGCTGCAACCAACGCGGGGCATTCCCAGTATTTGTGCAACCCGCATCGCCGTCCCTCTCTCGCATCCTTCCTCCACACTCGAGCCAACCCAGCACCATGGCCTACAACAACTCTGTCATCACCTGCACCCCCCACGCCACCCCGGACCCCTTCGTCACCTACAAGAATGACAAGTTCTACTTGGTGAGCGCTGCCCCCGCGCTGCCCCCGCGCTGCCCCCGCGCTGCCCCCGCGCTGCCCCCGCCCCTCAACCCCGCCATCACTGACATCGCTCTCCAGACCTTCACCGCCGGCGACCGCATCGAGGTGTGGTGCTCCGACAACGTCCTCAGCTTCCACAATGCCTCCAAGCATGTCATCTGGTAGGTGGGCATTTCCTTGTTTCCTCTTCTTTCCTGCATCACGTGAATCCACTCAACGATTCCTCCTTCTCCTTGCTTTGCTCTGAGCGTGCGGCCTGCACGTTTGTTTTCCGCTCTTTCCCATGCTAATGCCCACCAGGAAGCCTCCGCCCGGCACCGAGTATTCCGGTGGCATCTGGGCCCCCGAAATCCACGTCATCGATGGTCGCTGGTACGCCTATGTAGCCTGCGAAAACCCCAAGGAGGGCAACAAGTCTCACCGCGTACGCACCATTGCCGCCCTCGGATTCCTGCCTGGCTGACGTCTATGCAGATGTACGTTATCGGCGGTCCGCCCGGCCATGAGGACCCGTGCACCGGACACTGGGAGTTCCTTGGTCGCCTCCGGGGTGTCCCTGAGGACCAATGGGCCATTGACGGCACCGTCATCCACCTCAATGGCCAGAACTACTTCGTCTACAGCGGCTGGCCGCTTGGCGAGCACGACTCGGACAAGACGCAAGAACTGTTCATTGTCCACCTGCGCAGCCCCACCGAAGCCGACGGCGGCCGCCCGCCGACCAAGATCTCGCACCCCGACTTCCCGTGGGAGCGCAGCGGCCCGTCCGGCATCAACGAGGGCCCGCAGTGGCTCGCCTCGCCCGACGGCTCCTGGGTCGGCATCGCCTACAGCTGCGCCGGCTCCTGGACCAAGGATTACAAGATGAACACGATCCGGTACGCGGGCGGCGACCCGCTCGACCCGCGCTCGTGGCACAAGAGCGACAAGCCGCTGATCTCCACCCCGGACGGCGCAACCGGCCCCTACGGCCCCGGCCATGGCAACTTCATCCCCATCGCCAACAACGAGATCCTTGCCGTCTTCCACGCCACTGACAACCCGACCGACGGGTGGGGCAACCGCAAGGGCCGTTGCCAGCGCGTCAACTGGACCCACCACGGCCCGGACATGGGCCACTGCGTCGGTCCGCTGTGCGGAAACGTCGACGACTTCATGGCTGGCAAGCACGTCCAAGCTTCGGGCGGCGGTCAGGGCGGCAGCGGCGGCGGCAGCATGGAAGACAAGGTTACCGGCTTCTTGCACAAGGCCAAGGACAAGGTCGAGCAGAAGCTGAGGGAATTGTAAGATGTGAAGAAGCAGCAGCAGCAGCAGTGAAGGAAAAAACAAAATTACGGGATCAATGCTCTGCGAAAATGATTGTATGCGAAGACATATGTACGATTGAGCTTTTTGTGAAAGATCCGCTACGAATGTTATCGAAGTAGCGAGCTATTAGAAATGGAATAAGAAATAAAAGAAAGCAAGCTTCATGAGATTGAAATCTTAAATCATGTCATAATTGGAGCAGCGCGTGAGATTCGAAGCATATCCATTCCGATATTTATATAGGACGCTTGAATCGATGCAGTGAGTACGGTCAATCGAGAAGAGAAAAGAAATCATCAAAGTCGGAAACAAATAGCTATATCATGACCCCTTATCACACCAGTCTTTTGCCTCCCTCCCCTCTTTCCACGCCCACCATAGTCTCCCCCAAGTCTTCCTCACGCCCCGCCATTGACCGCCGCCGCCGTCTCGACGACGCCACCATTGCTGCTGTTGTTCTCACCACCGACCTTCCCGGCCACCCCATTCGCCGCCCCGACGACCTTGTCCCTCGCCTCGACGGCCAAGCGCCTCGCGTCCCCGACGCCGTCAAACTCGACGCCGCTGACGAGCACCTCGCTGACGCCCTCGAGCGCGGCGACGAAGACGCACAGGCCGCTCGCGATGCAAAAGTGCGAGATGCTGGTGCCGATGTCGAGCCACGACCCTTCGTCGCGCACCATCCAGAAGAAGGAGACGGTCATGGCGTCGCCGACGGCCATGACGACCATGAAGAGGGCCGACGGCGCGACGCCGAGGCGGCGGTTGAGGATGCCGAGGTTGGCCGAGAGCGCGGCGAAGGGGACGAGGATCTTGAACAGGAGGAGGGCCCCTTGCGAAAAGGGGTCGAAGACGGGAATGAGCCGGCTCACGGCGTCGAGCGAGAAGGACGAGATGGACGCGATGTTGCCCGTGCTGAAGAAGGCGGACTGCAGCAGGAAGAGGAAGAAGAGGGCGATGCGCACGTCCGATAGCGCCAGCGACCGGTAGTTGCCCGAAGACACGTCGGTGGGAAGCGTCTGCGCGGCGCCGGGCGCGGGCTTGAGGGGGCTGGGCTCCTTGGTGGCGGAGGAGGCGGGTTGTTGTGGTCGTTGTTTTGATGGTGCTGGGACCTTGTCTCCTGTAGCGAGACCAGCATGTTGAGAGATGCGGTGTTCCAGACGCACCCAGGTAACCAGGGTCATGCAGAAGGCGAAGTAGAAGAGCCCTTCGTACGAGATGGTAAGGATGATGAAGATGGGCGAAAAGCTTAGGAAAATGACCACTAGACGGTGTATGTAGTGGTTGTTCGGCGCTAGACCGTGGAGGAATGGCACCATTAGGGATGCAACTATAAGGCGTTAGTCAGAGTTTATCGTCAAATATATCTGCTTCACTTACCTAGTACCACCCAGCCCACGACTTGGGTGCCGAGAGGCAAGCCCTCCTTGGCTTGCAAAGAGGCGACGCTTGATTTCGTGACAAGCATTGCGAGAGCGATCAGGCCGACTTGGGTTCCTAGTATCGTCCGGGATAGGCCATCGGCTTTCTCGGATGCAAGGCCCTTCGTGGCGGTGGATTGCGCGATAATGCTCTTCTCAAAGAACAGGTACAGCGCACCAACAGTAAACATAAGAACACCACCGATGAGACTGCATGTGAGTGGTCAGTAGGAGTACTCTGTCGTGAAACAGCGTGATACTCACATAAGATTTATGTCCTCAACTTTCACGGCGTCCAGCAACGTGAAAACACTCATCATGCTACAAGACAGCCACCAAGTCGCAACTACCAGGAAGTTCTGTCTGATGAAGTGCATGCCGTAGAAAACAGGCCAAATAGTAGCCAGAAGATAGCAGATGGTGAAAACTTCCCTGTGGAAGTAACTTTGGACCTGCGTGGTAGGCGTTAGTAGATTCCACGCACGAAGAGGGATACCTTTTCGAGACTTACGATGGCTTCCAGCAATCCAAAAGACGCCACGAACTTGACCACCAGACCGATCTTGTCCTTTGGCGTCCTGATATGCTCGAAGAGCACATCCTTACCCTTCTTCAAGGCTGCTCTGCGCGCGTATACCTCTTCCCAAAACATGACGGGGAAGAATGCGTACGCATAATACGTCAAAGCCGACTTCTGCGCAATCAAAACTGAAAACAAGGCAACACCAACGGACGAGAAAACGACCGTCGAAACAGTCGAGCGCGATGTCTCCGTTGTACTGTGCAAGACGTGCAAATCAATGACCGTCGTAATGGCAAACGCGATCCAGCCCAGATATCCCAGCGTGACGAGAGCACGAAGGAACAACCAGTCGTACGTCTGAAGATACCTGATAGCCTCGAGGCCCAACTTGATCAGTTCCGCGCATTGCTGAATGGCGTCTTCGGCATGGCCACCGTCGATCAGCTCCCTGATCCTGGCCATACGGGACGCAACCGATTTCTCATCGCTGTCCCTGAAGGCGGGAAAGGGTCTGTAGCGTAGCTCGGTCGACTTCTTCTGCTCCTCCTTCACATGGTACATTTCGAGGATCTCCTTTGCATTGACCAGCAAGGCTTCGGCCTTCGTAGTGGCATCGGCTTTGATGTACGCCAGCGGCAGTTCGCCAACCGAATTGACCGGGAAGGCAATGCCGACCAGGTAGGCCATGAGCGTCGCGACGTCTGCTTGCGCTACGTCGTTTCTCTGGATCTGGTCCAAGTTCCAATCCGAGGAGAAGCCATCTTCATGGCCCGCAGCAATGCCATCCGCAACCTTTACCGGAGGTGCAACGCCCGATCCCCAGGCAATCAGCGGCGTCCGCGTGTTGTCAGGATGGCCGTCTCCGTGACTGCCCCAGTCGCTCATTCCATGATCGGCGGTAAAAACGAATGCTGTCTTCCCATCTCCGTAGAAATCTTCAATCAGCTGCGTGATCTCCTTGACGCCCTGATCCACAACCTTGATGTTGTGCAGGTACTCCTTGGAATACGGCCTGTACCCATGGCCCGTGGTGTCGAGGCCCAGAAGGTGCAAGAAGAAGACGTTCTGCTCCTGCTTCAGCTCCGCAGCCAGCGTCTTGTTCGTCTTTGCATCGCGAAAGAGGGCCTTGACCCGATCAAACACCCAAGTGTCCAACAGCGTGGCGTCCGACGTAAAGTCCTCGGCCTCGGCGCCGTACATGTCGGTATCCACGCGGCCGGGCACGGCGCCCTGCTCGAACATGGGCAGGATGTCCGGACTGCCCCAGCTCCACGTGTGTCGGCTTCGGTTGAAGACGCTGTCGAAGTTGACCGGATTCAGCTTCCACCCCGTCGTCACTGCCGACACGTCCTCGTACAGGCCCGCGATCAGCGCGACATGTCCCGGCCGCGACTCGGTGGGCACGCGCGTATGGGAGACGCCAAAGGTACCGTGTGACAGGACGCGCGAGCGGAGAAAGGGCGCGAGCGGCCGCAGCTCCTGGGCCTCGGGGGCATTGGGGTTGGCGGGCGAGGGGTCCTTGAAGTATTGGAACGCCTTGTCGGCGCGGAGTCCGTCGCCTGCAGGCCAGACAGCAGTCAGCACACAACCCACGAGGCTCCGGATACGTTGCACGCCCGGCTTAGGGGCGGTCAGCGAGCTCCGGCCGACGGTAGACGGAGCAGAGCGGCGCGTGGAGACGCTCACCAACGAACAGGACCAATCGCTTGGCAGGGGCTTCTCTAGCCTCGAGGCGGTACTCGCGCATGCCACTGACAATGGGGCTAATGAAGTAGATGTCGAAGATGGAGTATATGTAGACCAGGTGGAACACCACGGCGACGGCTAGGAAGCCGGCGCGGCCGAGTCTCGCCATGGCTGCGCAAAATGAGCGGCGCGTCTCTCCGTCGGCGGAGGAGACTGCTGGAGAAATTGGGCCGGAAAGGAGGGTGGATGAGCAGTCGTTCGGGACGACGCGCGGTGTTTTCACGGGGAGCGTGTACCTGCATGGACAATTGTACCCGGACCGCCAAGCCCAACGTCACCCCGGCACGCTAGGCGACGATCGTCCGCACCAGGAGGCGGTCAGCACTCAGCAGCGTCTCATTGGCACCCACACTACTACTGACCAGGTCTATCGACTCATGCTTGGATTTGGCCGCCCTCTGATTAGCTGCATATACACATCCTCGTGCGTGTTGAATAAACGCCTTTTGTATCCCCATCATCCTCGTCGTCCAGCCGTGCCCTACGCTGCCTCTTCCGCCTCCTCCGCCTCCTCCGCCTCCTCCGCCTCCTCCGCCTCCTCCGCAGCCTCTGCTGCCTCCGCCGGGCTGTCGACCTCGACCTCGTCGGCTGCATTCTCCACCGCAACCTCGCCCGCCTCTTCCTCTTCCTCCTCGACGTCGACGAGCTTGACCGAGCCGCCCTCCTTCTCGAGCTTGAGCCACTCGTCCCACTCAGGGAACATGTCGGCGTCGCCCTCGTCGTCTGCGCTGGGCGGCTGGCCCAGCAGCCGTGCACTCTTAGCCTTGTTCTCCTTCTCCAACCCCTGCTTCCACTCCCTGACGAGGCCGGGAGCGCGGCTTGGCTTGTAAGTCTGCGCAAAGAGCACCGCTTCCGACGTGCGACCCGTTTTGGTAAGCAGATCGATGCAGCCATCCACATCGCCCACCTGCCACAGGCAGGAGAAGGCAATGTTGTGTGCGCTCGACTCCTGCGCTAGCTCTGCAAGCTTGCGGAGGCCACCAGCATTCGAGCTCGACGAGTGGAGAAGGAGGAGGGAGCCCAGGTCCTTTGCGTGTGTGAAACACTCTTCAGCAAGCTTCAGGTCCCATGCAGTAAGTGCTGCGTCGCCGACCGTCTTCCACTTGTGCTCCACGTCGACCTCCTTGGCGAGCTCAAGCGCAACATCCAGTTTCCCGAGGCTCAGCGAGAGATCGAAACGATGCTCAGGATCCGTCGCCACGTCGAGCGCCTCCTCCTTGAAGCCTTGGCCCTCGAGGAATCGGGCAATCTTGTTCTTTTGGTCCTGAGGAATGTCATCGAGCATCTCAGTCGCCGTCTCGAGCTCTCCTCTCAACACAAGCGTCTGGTACTCAATCACCGAGAGGGAGAGGGCGTACGACATGACTCCGACGTCCTTGTCGCAAATGTAAACGCGGCCATCGCGGGGAAGATAGCCGAGCACGTAGATGGGGGTATCGAAGTGAGAAATGGTGTAAGTCTGATCACCAACGAGGTAGTTCAGCCTGTTTGTGCTGTTGGTGTAGACGAAGCAGTCGCCGACCCACTGGCCGGTCCGGACACTATGAAACATGTCAGTCCAACCTCTGCCATGGCGAAAGCTGGGCAATAATCCTCAACTCACCTCTCATTGACGTCTGTGATGACCTCGAAGGCAGCTTCAACACCATCCTCGTCAACTTCGCCTGCCTGAAGGGCGGCAACGTAGTTTTCTCTCGAGAAACGGAGGACGTAGTAGGTATCATCGCAGGCAAGAGCGACGAGCTCGCCGTTTTCAGACCAGTACACCTATTCTTCTCAGTTTTGGCTTGCACGGGGTATTCCGGGTACTGGACTCACGTTTCGGGGCTCAACTTCGATTCTCCTAACCAGCTGGCCCGACTCCCAGTCGAAAAAGCCGATTCCGCCTTGGCCCTTGACACCGAGAAGGGTACCGCCACTCAGGCCGTCCGCTTGGAACCCAACGTTCAAGCCGCCACTGCCCTTCTCCTTAAAATTACGGAATATCTTCACGCTGGTGCCCGACTCGCGGATAGCGTAGTCTTTGTCGTTCTCCTTGGACGCCCAAGCAAAGTCCAATGCCGAACCGAAAGCTTGGTTGCGCAGGGCCAGCGCAGTGTAGATGATGTATTCACCGTCACCACAGACCGCGACGAAACGGCCATTGGGAGAGTGCATCAGCGATTGCGGGTAGATCTCCGTAGAACCCAGATCCTTCGAAGGGATGGTCAGACGGTCCCCATCCTTCAAGCTCTTGTCACCACCCTTGATCACGGCGGTGAGAATTTCGGAGTGCTTCGCCCAGATAACCTTTCCAGAGGCATCCATGCTAACAGCGGGCTCTTCACGACCCATTTTAACGACGACAGCACCGTCGTCGAAACCCACGGCGACTCCTTGCTTTCCACGCTGATAGCTCACACACCATGCGCGCTCCAAGCCATAACTGAGTGACTGCTCGAGGCGGTAGGTGTTGGCATGCCATATCTTGACAGTGCCATCTTCCGAGCCGGAGATGATAACGGGCAATTCAGGGTGGTAAATGGCGAATGAGACGTTGCTGGTGTGGCCTTCCAGAGTAGCGATCTGCGCCTTGGTTGTGTAATCCCAGACCTTCACGGTCCTGTCGTCGGATGTAGTCAGGAGGTAGGGCTTGTCGGATTGAGGGTAGTAATCGACATGGTTGACACCCTTAGTTTCGTGCGCCTCGAGGGTGAAGTTAGGAGTCGGAGACCCCAAGCTCCAGATCTTGACCGTTCTGTGACTCGGTCAATAAAGGCATGTCGCCACGTCCGCAAAGCATCCCGTACCTATCAAGACAAGCAGACGCGAAAGTGTTAGTGTCCTTGGGGTTGATAGCGAGGCCCATGACATAGTGGGCATGGCCCTCGAAGACCTGGACACATTTCCAGCCGCGCTCCCAATCCCACAACTTGATGGTCTGCCTGATCGTTAGCTACGCTACACGCCGCACACCTGAACCATCCCATGTACGCACCATGTCATCGGAAGCCGTGAGAACGAAGGGCTGCGTCGGGTGGACACATATCGCGCGAATGTAGTCGGGGTGCGCCTCGAAGCTGGTGATCTTCTCGGAGGTATTGTAGTTGTAGACACGAAGCTGGAAGTCGTCGGAACCGCAGACTATCCAGTTCTTGCGGGCAATGAAGCGGCCGGCACGAACGGGCACGTCAGTGAGCTCGAAGGTCTTGACAATTGCCTGCGGAGTTTGTTAGTCTTGCACACAGTAGCCCGAGTTGGCATTCTTACCTGCGTCTCATAGGACCAGATGTGACAATGGCCTGGCTACGTAAGCTCTTCTGTCTCTTCCGCAATCGCGCCGCAGCAACATACCGCTGTACAGAGTGGTAAGAACCTGCTTGAGTCAGAGATGCGCTCCGGAGAGTAGAGGTGGAATCAACGTACCCATGGCTCCGTAGGGTGGAAATCGATTCCCTTCACACGCTCGCTCCGGGCAAAGAGCTGCCTCTGCGAAGCGAAAGTTGGGTTAGCTAGGTTCGCAAGCGGTGGGAAGTTGCCGCGCGCAGCCATGATGGCGGTTGAAGCTCCAGAGCATGGGCTGCTGCGCACTGCCGGTGCTAAGGCCTCGTACCTTCACGTCGAGCCGCATCTTGTTGTCTCAGGGTGTGTCGTGGTACGCAAGGGGAGCGGGATTGGGAGACGTGGCTTATGAGCAGCCAGTCGAACGAGAATTGCGTTGCGCAACGTGACGCCCGGTATCACCGCTGCGGAATTGTTCGAGGGGGAGGAGCGCAAAGGGTCGGGTGGCGGTCGAGAGTGGTGTCGCGGGCTCGCGCTGGACAGGTGGATGGTTGCGGCCGGGCTGCCCTCCAGGGTGTCGTCGGAGTTGATCTCGGCCGCCAAGATTTCAGCTCCCTCGCCCGTTGCGCCCGCCGCAGTTTAGTAGTTGCCGCGCGCCTGCTCTTTCGTGTCCTTTTCTCCCCGCGAGAGCAGTCCCATTCGACGCAACTGCGTGGTCTCTGCTCGCCAATCGTCTGGTCTCCGCTGCACATGCACAGGCTGGACGATCCTCTGGGCTAGATGGACTGCGTGACGCGTGACGGCGGTCTGTTCCGCTCATGCATCGCGTTCTTTGCCGGCGGTGGAATCTACTCCCCGCGTCATCGCCTTCTCGTGCGTCGAAAAAGTGTCTCACGAATGCCGCCGAATCCATCGAACCCTTTTTATGCGTCGCGTGGACAAACTTCTCATTCATCACTACATTTATTGAAAGTTCTGGAACTATGTACTCGACAGCCAACCTCCCCAGGCGCTGTCACACCAACAGCCATGGCAACATACACATGCGCCAGGCTGTCTGTAGTCTTATTCCTACCGTATCGAAAGGAATCAGAAATAGTCTAGCTTCTCGACAGAAGGCATAGACAGGTATCTAAGAAGCGAAGGAAAATGTGATCAATAATGTGGTAATAAGCTTGCGCTAGATGACAAACTGGAAATGCAGGCGGGTGTAGAGAATAGGAGATAAGACCGAGGGCCTGAGAGCAGTGACCTGTGCAAGGTGCATGGAGACGATCGTCGCTGGGCGGTGGAGCCCGCTACTCGTCTGCTGCCGGACGGAAAGAATGGTAAAGTGATCTGGCCAGCTGCCCGCGAGACCGTGCTTTTAGAATATGATACAGCGAACATGACCTCATGTAGTAAACATTAGGCCGTCAAAGATGGTCTAAGGTCGCGCTTGGCCCTCAGTTCCATCCCAGGGAGTTTTCGGCCATGACTGGCGCCGAAATCTGCGCGGTTCTGGCGCTACGGCCGTTGCTGCTGCCACTGCCACGGCTGCCGTGGCTGTCACGGCCACCGCGGGCTCCAGACATCCAAGGACCAGCGCCCGTCGAGCCGTGACCGTTCGAGCCGGTGCTGGGAACGGAGCTGGAGCGCTGGTGGCTAGCTCTCTTCTTCTTGTACCTGCGAGCAACAAGCATCATGGCCGCACCATAGACAGCGACACCGCCAATGGCAGCAAACGCGATACCAACAGCGCTGCCCTTGACGCCCGAGCCCGAGCTGGAGCCATCGCCCATGGGATCGCCACTGCTGGCGTCCCCAGAAGAGCTCGACGACGAGCCGCTGCCAGTCGAGGAGCCGGACGAGCCATCGTCAGGCATGTCACTAGCGACGATCGGGAACGTGGGATCGACAAAGCTCGTCAGGAAGTTGATCGTCGATCCAACACTCTCGTCATCGTTGTTGTAGAAGACCGAGTTGGAGTTCAGCAGATCCAGATGGAGCGTGTCGACCAGGTCACTCGGGACGTACATCAGCGCCAACGTAGAGATATAACCCAGCTTCTCGGTAGTGTTGTACGAGGTCAAAGTGACCATCTCAACCTTGTCGTGATCGATGCCAAGTCCATCGGCCACAGCGATCGGCATATAGGTCGTGAGTTGCCAGCCGGTGGTGTCAGCATGGCCGACGACGAAGGGCCAGTTGAAGCCGCGCTTGAAGCCAATCTGGATCTTAGTGGAGTTGGTGGGTGCAGAAGGCATGCCTCCCGGAGGAGCGATGAACTTGGGGTACGTGGTAGCAGAGGCAGTAGCCGAAGAGCTAGACGACGTGCCAGTGGTTGAGGGATCGAAGACGATGCTGGTTGCCACAACATAAGTGGTCGCCGAGTCGGTCCCGGTGGGACGGATCGAGAAGATAGGAGTGGTCGACGTGGTAGAGAGAGTCGAAGACGCAATCTCGATCGTGGAGCTAGTGCTGAGAGTGGGAACAACAACAATGGCCGAGGACGAACTCGAGCTGAAGGTGGAGCTGGTCTGGACAGAAGACTCGGTCGTCTCCGACACAACGGGAGTGGTCGAGGACGCGGCAGTCGACGGAGTCGAGGCGGGAGTGGTAAGGACAGGCGTCTCGGTCGAGCTGGATCCAGGCGTGTTCGAGCTCGACGACGCGGTGGGCAGCGGCGTGGACGGGGTAGTTGAGACTGCAGAAGAGTCACTTGGAGTTGCGGATGTAGCCACGGGAGTCGACGCGGAGCTGGGAGTACCAGTCAACGACGAAAGTGCCGAAGTCAAATCAATAGTGGTCGGGGTGCTGAGCGGGATGATCGGCGTAGTCGGAATCGAAATGAGTGGCGTCGAGCCGAGGAGCGACGACAGAATCGATTCAACACCCGTGAGCGAGGACGACGCGGCGGGAGTAATAGGGCTTGAGGCACTCGTCGGGGTCGGGGTGGCGACCGAACCGCTCCCAGTCAAGGGAATGCTAGCGAGCGGAGTCAGAACCGAAGACAGATCACTGCCAACGCTGGAGACGAGGCTGGTCGCGTCCGAGATGAGAGAGCCAAGGTCGCTCGTAAGCGGCAGAGAAATCAGCTCGCTGGCGCTGGTGGGCGCCGGAGTGATGCCAGGAGTCAAGACACTGGTGGCCGATCCGGTCTCATCAGAGGTTGCAGTGGGAGTAGCACCGCTGATGGAAGAAGTAATCGGCGGAAGATCAGTGCCGGTGCCAGCAAACAAGGAACTGCTGCCAATGAGCGGCGTCAAGACAGACTCAACCGGCGTGGCGACAGAGCTAAGAACAGACTCAACGGGGGTCAAGACAGACTCGACAGGCGTGACAACGGAGCTCACAAGAGACTCCACGGGGGTCAGGATAGACTCAACAGGCGTGACGACGGAGCTGACGAGCGACTCCACGGGGGTCAAGATCGATTCAACAGGCGTGGCGACGGAGCTGACGAGCGACTCCACGGGGGTCAAGATCGATTCAACAGGCGTGGCGACGGAGCTGACGAGCGACTCCACGGGGGTCAAGATCGATTCAACAGGCGTGGCAACGGAGCTGACGAGAGATTCCACCGGGGTCAAGATCGATTCAACAGGCGTGGCAACGGAGCTGACGAGAGATTCCACCGGGGTCAAGATAGACTCAACAGGCGTGACAACGGAGCTCACGAGAGATTCCACCGGGGTCAAGATAGACTCAACAGGCGTGACAACGGAGCTCACGAGGGACTCGATCGGGGTGACCACAGGGGTAACGATGGAGCCCACGGCAGAAGTAACGCCAGACACAACACCGCCAAGCAAGCCCCCAGAGGAGCTCTCAGTCGACGACGGGGCATCAGTCGTGCTGCTGCTGCTGTCAATGATCGTCGAAAGACCGACGATGATGCCAGTTCCGGTCGAGGACGCAGGAATGGGAGTGGCGGGGCTCGCGATGCCGCTGGTAGGCGTGACAACAGGGACCGAGACCCCACCAGTGCCAGCCGCAGAAGTCTCGACAGGCACAGGCTCCGAGCCACTAGTGGGCTGAACGGACGAGTCGCCAGTCTCAGTAGCGCTGGCAGATTGCTCAGTGGCAGTCGTCGGGTTGAGGACAGGGCTCAAGATGCCTCCAGTGCCCAGGGCGCTGGTGACAGGGCTCAAGATTCCACTTGATCCAAGAGCGCTGCTCAAGGGAGACAGGACCGGGCCGAGAAGACCATCAGTAGTGGAAGAAGCGCTCGAATCAGTGGGGGTGGCCTGCGCATCAGTACCGCTGGAGCTGGTGGGCTGAACAATCGGGATTGAAACACCACCAGTGCCGGTACCGGCAGCACTGGACTCAGCAGCTGGGGTGGTGGCCACTGAAGAAGCAGACTCGTCAGTCGAAAGTGCTGTCGTCGGCGTCAAGATAGGGCTGACAACACCACCGGTACCGGTAGCGCTGGACTCAGCGACGGGGGTGGTGGCAGCCGCTGAAGAAGCAGACTCATCACTGGAAGCTGCCGTAGTCGGCGTCAAGATAGGGCTGAGTACACCACCGGTGCCGAGAAGGCTAGTCACAGGGGACACAACGGGATCAAGAAGGCCGGTGCTGGAGGAAGCCTCGTCGCTGATAGCCGAGCTGGTGGGCTGAACAATCGGGATCGAAACGCCACCAGTACCAGTTCCTGCGGCGCTCGAAGCGGCCGGGGTCGACGCGGTGGAGCTCGTCTCAGAAGCAACAGCCTCTGAAGTTTCCGACTCAGTGCTGCTGCTGGTGGGTTGAATAACCGGACTTGAGACGCCACCGGTGCCAACATAAGTGGATACGGGAGTCTCAACCGATGAAACTTCGGCAGTTGTCTCTGCGTCGCTGGTCGTCGGCTGAATAACAGGGCTCGACACACCACCAGTTCCGACGTAGCTGGACACCGGAGTCTCAACGGGCGTGAGCTCAGTTGTCGATTCCGTGCTGGTGGTGGTCGGCTGGATGACAGGGCTCGAGACACCGCCAGTTCCAACATAAGACGGCTCGGGGGTGGAAGTCTGCACGGCCGAGGACTCAACGGCGGTGGAAGTAGTGGTGGACTCAATAACGGTCTCCTCGACTGCGGCAGTAGTTGAAGGTGTGACGACAGGAAGGGTAACACCGCCGGTCCCAACGAAAGATGATGCGGCGGGAGTAGTTTGAGCCTCCTCGGGGGTGCTTGACAGAATAGTCGTGGTAACGGGCGAGGAAACTTCGGTAATGGTGGACTCGGAAATGATGGTCGAAGTGCCCGACGGACTTTCGCTCACAGAAGTGGAATTGACCGTGTAGGCAGTGGTTGATGACTCTGCTGCGGGCTGCGGGGTGTTGAAAAAGCTACTGAAATCCGAATCGCTCTTCGAAAAGCTTTCGAGGAAGGAGGAGAAATCGCTAGATGATTCTTCTCTAGAGGTCAAAGTCGAAGTATCGCTAGCGGGAGGCGTAGAGATTCCCGGAGTCGAGGCGAGGACATCTGGAGTCGAGGCGAGAGCCTCGGGAGTGGAAACGAAAGCCGCCGGAGTTGGTGTAGAGTAATCCGGAGTCGAGATAATGCTCTCCGTAGACACAGCAGCTACAGTGGAGTTGCTTATTTGCCTTTTCACATGGCGAGGGAAGTAATACTTCGGCTTTTGTGGCGCGGCGGTCCGTCTTGCTTGTGCCGGTGCAGCTTCGGCGGTTGCCCCCTGAAGAGACAAAAGGGCCATGCAAGCCGCCCAGGTGACGGTGGAAGTCTTCATCCTGTATTATTTCCTCAATCGTCCGAATCCAACGTGGATGACAGTGGGTGCTAAGGTAAATTCGAAGGCTATTCGACGTTAGATGTGTCCCCAAAATCCGGTGCCAGGGCCAGCGTACTGTCAGGATGTTCGTGAAAACGAGTGTACTTGACGAATCAAGGATAAGGAGTGTGACTGTAACGGTGATTAGTCCCGTTTCGCGAAAATGAGGTCTCTTTTTCCAAAGTTGGACGGGTTTCAAAAACACGGAGCCTTACCGGACTGGAACTCAGTCGCGGAGCGCAAGAGTAAAAGCAAAGATGGCTGTAAGGTCGGCGAGTAAATTCACAGCCCTCAGCATACCATTCTGCAAATACCTAGTGACTGCGTAGCTTCGAATGAGAGGACGCGAAATCGGTAGTCGCGGGATGGTGCGGAGACAAGCGCGCGCTCGCTGGACGAAGTTTTCCAACAATTCTTGCTCGGTGTCTTTGTCCTGCTCTCTAGCATACGACAATGGCGAAGTGATGGGTGGCGTCCACTCGATCAAACGGCGGGCGAGATCCACGTGCTCAAGACCCTCTCTCAAACAAAGAAACCCAAATTAAAACCACGAATTACAGCTCCCAGGCTCTAGATTAACCAGCGGAAATGACGGGCTGGGCAATCTCTTTGTCCAGCAGGCCAGGAGTGGTAGGGAGGGAAATCCAGTGGCACAAGTCGGGTCGGCAGTCAAAGATTGGAGGCGCAAACGTCCGAAGGCGGTCGAGAGGCGGTATTAGAAAGCGGCCAGAATAGTTGCGAGAATCGAAGTAGCAAAAACGAGCGGTGGTGATTCGCTGGGGAATCGAGGCGTGACGATGAAGGAGCGTGAGTGGAGCCCTGTGCGAGACGGCGAGTCGGTCGGGACGAGGTCTGCGACGGCGGCGAGCACACACTGGAAGCTGGAGCTCCAGTGCTGACCGGTCGAGGATTGCCGGGCTGTTGGGGAGGGTGTGGAGAGGTCGAAGGTGCGGCGAAGGAGAGAAATGAGACGAGGTCGGCGGGAGAGCGATGAGAGAGGCCGGCAGGCGCCAGGCGAAGCGAGCGAGCACAGGAGTGGCTTCTGTGAGCGGGCCTGACCAGCAGCGGCCCCGGGCGCGGAGCAGGGACGTGGGCAAGCAGAGCAGAAGCGACGCCAGAACAGGCGGCGCTGTGCATAAAACGTGCGCACAAGCACCGGTCAATTGCTGCAAAGAGGCCGGGCGCGCAGGCGGTTCGCAGCGCCGACGGCGATCGCTCCCGGCGCGCTTGCGGGCTTGCGGGCTAGCAGCAGGCGGACGTGAGGCGTGGAGAAGCAGGACGGGCACAAAGTCGAGGCAGTTCTGAAGCCGATGCGATGCTGAGCGCTGCGGGCGGGCGTGCGCCCGGGCGTCGGCGAGTGATTAAGGTCACGTCGCAGCACGACTCGCGGCCAGCAAGGAACGGGCAGGTGGGCAGGCGGGCGGGCGAGAAACACAGCGTTTCCCTCGCCGGTGGCAGTGCCGTGCAGCCAGGAGCGCGCCCATTGCGGCGCCGCCGCCCGCGGAGCATCAGCAATCCCGCAGCAGGGTGGTGAAATTGCCAGCAGCACCGCGGGCAGCGCTTCGGGCACCCTGCAGCCGCCGGCCTCCGCTATGCCCGTCGCGGCATAGCCTGCGGGCCATGCGCCGGGCATCCCGGCCCTGCGAAATTAGACGGGCGTCGCCCGCGTCTCATCAGGGTCATGGCCGACAATTTCCACCGCCGTCCATTTAGCCAGGCCGCCAGCGTCGCAGCTCCGCCCCGAGCGAGGGCGCGCTGCTTGCTGCTTGCTGCTCGCTGCTCGCTGCCCGCTGCGCTCTCGCCGCGCGGGCTCCCGGCTGCAAACATCGCGCGTTGCACGCAGCCGTCAGCCGCCCGCCGTCTGACGCGCAGACTCAGCACCGCGCATGGAGGTGCAACCCGACTTGCCTGGCTTCGTCGCGCCGTGCCGCCCCCGTGCCTGAGTCCCGCGGGCAGACGAGGCAAGCGCCCGCCGGCCGCATGTGACGCCTCTCTTTCTACGCCATACGCGCCAGCACATATTAATCCAGCAGGCAGACAGGTGCCAGTGCAGCCCCGGCCGCGGTGCGCGGGCCCGGCTGGCGTGCTCTTTCATAAGTAATGTTGCACTCCCAGCCCGCTCATCTCCGCCCCTCCGACCAAGGCCCAAGGCCCCAGGCCCCAGGCCCCAAGCCCCAGGCCCTCGTCGGCCGCTGCTGCTGCGCATGCCGAAGCCCAGGCACCGTCTGCACATGCTGCTTCCCCGTCCGTCGAGCCCGTTAGCTCGCGGCTGATGAGCAGCCGCTCCGCTTCTCCTGAGCGTTCGCGCGATAATCTCCGGCCCTCACCTAGCAAACCCAAATTGGACCACCGCGGTCGCTTTGGGCTCGGTCGCCGCCTCCAGCGCCTCTTTGTGGAAAGCAAGCCGTGCTACACGCCAGCCGGGCGGTGCACCGATGTTTTTACGGCCGCCCGCCTGCCTCATCAGTGTCTTATTGGTAAGGTGTGCCATCGTGTGCTGCCATATTTCTGTCCGACGCGGCGCTATGGAATGTCAGACCATGGTCCTCAGGAGCTTCTTGTGGCAGCCTCAGCCGGCTGTCAGATCTGCCATTCTGCACACCCGCGGCCGATCATGACCGCGTCTCGACGGCTGGCGGTCAGGCGCCAGGGCCATGACGGTGGGCTGGCAGTGCAATCGACCTCCACCCCGTTGTCCCCTAGCGTTTCAGAGTGTTTGCCATCTTTCGGCACCGACTCCTTAAGCTTCTCCAGCACGATGCCACGATGCCTGGATGCCCCGTCCGTATCGTCGCGCTGCGCTTCCCCGAACCGTTCGGAGCGTTTGACGGCCAGCTCGCGTCGCTGCCCGGATCTTCATTGCCAAGTCACTCTGTTCAGGGAGACGTTCGCAGGTTTGGATCGCCGCGACTCACATTCGTCATGCGGTGGATCGCCTATTCTTAGGGACCCGTTCCCACCTTACTTCGCCCCGAAGAACAACTAGGTATCGTACGTGTTCATGGCGTAAGCGCTCGCATTGTTCGCTCGCCGAAGCCGATCGCCCTCAGCCGATCCCTTGTTATTCTTGCTGTCCTGCGTTCCTGTGGGCACAACAAGACGTGACCTCCTTCATGACTAGCGGCGAAATCAGTGCCTCGCGTTCTCTAACGTGCAGGGGGACTGGGCCGAGCACAGAAGAAGACGCACGAAACATTGGCCTTTGGTATCTCACTGTTGCTGTACATACGGCAGTCGATCAGGATTAACATGTCTAGATCTAGACCGAAAGCCATCTGGGCAATCTTAATTGATGAAATTGACCTACGGCGATCCTACGGTTGAAGCAAACGCCAACGCAGATGCAGATGGAGCAGAGATCTAGATGCAGAAGCGAGCATATTGGAAATGTCCAAATGCATGTCCATCATGTGAGGTGGCGGCGACAACCGCTTTCTACAAGTACCCGTATATACCAGCTATACAGCATTTGCTGAAGCAACGGTCCGAGGGCTCCAAACATCCGTCACATCGCACGGCATGGATTCCGGTCGCATCTGCCATGCATGGTCTTGACTGCAGCCTCGGGATATTTGAATCTCAACACAACCGTTGTACAACGTGAATATCTGTTCTTGAGACGTCGTGGTGTAGCCTTGGCACCGGCCGGCCGCTTGGTTGGTCCGCGGACCCAAACATTTGCGTTTTCCATGAGGGGCACGGGAAAAGGTCCACGGCGCCGGCGCTCTAGCCCAAACGCCTTCCGTCTCTACCGTTGCCAGCCCGTTGCACCTACGTCACGCTTCCAGCGCCCGGCTTACCGTTGGGAACCAAAGTCAGCCCTACTAATTCAACATGCCCACCACCGCTCCTTGCCATGTTGCGTGCAGCTGCGACGACGACGTCCATTCCAGAGCCCCTGTGCATGGCACCGTCGCTATGCGCCAATTCAATCTCCAAATCCTTCCAGAACATCCCGTTCTCTCCCACCACAACCACGGGAACAAGACCTGATAGCCGTCCAGCCTTGACTCACACATTCTCAAACCCGTGGACCGGGATCTCGCTGGCCGCCTCCAAACCGCCGGACGCTCGTCGATGTGCGCTGTTCCCCCTCGCCCGGCAGCCAACCGGAAGCCCAACCACCCTCCGTACCATCTTCCCGCCCTGCCCGCCGTGCCCGCCGCTGTTCGTCCCGACGATCCGCTACACAGCGGCCATGTATGCAGCCCACGCATGCAGCCGAACAAACTCCCGAGATCCTTCCAGAGGCCGCGGAAGATGAGGCGACAGGAAAAAGCAACCGCTGACTAGAGAATTTTCCCACGCTACGCTCCTCAACCACCACGTCCGCGATGCCCTAAGACGGGCCCCACTCTCCCCGCGGGTCGAGAATAACCGCGTTGCGCGCGCATGGTTCGCTAGTTGGGCGTGACGCGTCATCCATCTACAGACAATAATAAGCTCAGCATTCCTTCCCCTTCCTTCCTTCCATGCCCGCGCCCGCCGGAGGGACACGAACGGCGCACGTGTCGCCTCCATCCCGCCCGTATCACCGTGCCTGCCCTATTGTAGGGAAACAAATACAACCCTTGTTTCCCCCCCAGCCTCATCGCTCCTGTCTGCGCCGCCAGCCACACGCGTGCACGTCGTACAGCAGACGGGGGAGGGGGGGCGCGGGCATGCAACGCAGAAACGCGGAAGGCTCGTAATCTCCCATCCACAAAGGAAAAGAAACAAAAAAGGAATGTCGTGTCCGTGATCGAGGTGCTAGACTCCTTCTCCGCAGGGAGCAGGGGAGGGGGCAGTGGAAAACAAAGCGAGGAAAGTAAAAATGTGCACAACTAAAAAAGCCTCGCTGGCGAGCCAAGCAAAACCTGCACCTCCGTCCAGACGTGGCACCAATAGCCATCCCGCGTCCGTGTTAAAAGAAAAAGCGCATTCCTTGATTGGCCTGTTGCTTGCCGCTCATGTGTGAT